CCCCAAAACCCCAAAACCCCAAAACCCCAAAACCCCTCTTGTTATATTTATTTTTGAAAGGAGTGGTTTCAGTTAGATTCTTGACATTGATTTTTGAGCAAGGGACTTCTTAACTCCCCTCATCAATCCCCTTGAGTTAACAGTCTTCCTCCCATCAACACTCTTGCCAAAACGAGTCCTCATAGAAGAGCTCGTAGCTGTAGACATTTGACTCCCTGTAGATTTCCCCTTGGAGAAAGAAATTGATGCTTTATTCTTGTTATATCCAAAACTATTAGCTCATCTCCTTAAGTTAGTATTTCCTTCCGGAACTTTCTTTTTCTTCTGGAACATTGACACAGATTTCTTCATAGGTGGTTTCTTACTCATTTTAGATTCTATAGTACTATGTGAGCTTCGTTTTAAGGCATCAAGATTATATATGAGCTATTAAATTGCAACCATAATAAGAAATTTGAACGAATTCTATTCTTAATCCGAAGCTTTTGCTCCAAAATTTGAACCTTACCTTCTTTCCTGCTTAATTTTCCAGATTTAGTAGATTTAATTTTGACCTTCATCGGAGGGGGCTTCGGGGCGACTGGCTTTTTCTTGGCAAATCTTCTTCTGCCAGTGCCAGGCTTGTTGAGTGTATTGGTAACATCATTTCTGACACCTTCAATATTCTTGAATCTGCTCATAGGGAGCCTTGAAACAGGGTTGTCATTGACAAGGTCAAGAATTGAAGCAGCAAATGCTGCTCCAACGTTCTCAAGAATTTCAATGTTATAAGGAGGTCACATCCCGTTGCTGTATAGGGTTGATGTAGAGTCTGAAACTGGAGTTTCAGCCTCTCCTCTTCCAAGAATCTTGTTAAATTTTGGAGGAATGATTGACAATTTCTTCCCTGTGTGGTAGTTTCACTCAAGTGTGTATCAGTGCTTGCATCCAGTGTCTTTATAAATAGCCACTCGCCCTGTTCCTTCTCTTGATTCACCTTGCTTGTCAACTTTATTCATAATTTTATCTGAAAAGCTGCACTCGCTCATATCAAAATTAAGGCAGTTTAGAGACATGAGACGAGCAAAAAGGACATTATCAACTTGTCTTTCTCCTTTAAGAGCATTTCCAAAGCAGAATATTCCTTTTTTGGAAGCATGTGCATGGAAATCAACGTACATCATCAGATTATCTGTTTCAGAAAGTTGCTTAAGAACATGCTTTACGGAATAAGTTGTTGGACAAACCAACAAATCTGGATCAAGGTATTCCCGATTTAAATTTTGACCAAGCGTATCAAGTCTATAATATCCTCTATAGATTCCATCCGGATTTAGTGCAGGAACCAGTTTGAAAACAAAGTTTTTCAACAGACTTCTCGAATGTGGATTTTTCTCATCCATCAGAATATCGAGGAAGCCATTATACATATGGGAAGCTCCAGTTTCTCCAGGATGAACTCTTGAGCTAAGAAATATGACTCTCTTGCTGTAATATTTCAATGGTCTCTCTTCAGGTGCACCTGTATGCTCTGGGAAAAGGTTGGGAATATACTCTTCCCTCTCATCGTCTTCATTTATACCGTCTTTTGAAGAAACAGTGATCATTTCCTGTTTCCGGCCTTCTCTTGAATAAGTCAGAACTTCTCTATGAACATAGACATTCTTCCTCCTTGACATTCGATATTCAAATTCGTCTAATTTATGAGTAATTTCTTCAAAAGAATAGGGGAATGAATATGCGAAATATGTTATGTTTTCAGATGATTTTGAACTTGGAAATGTCCACTTCAGAGTAAATATATCATCATCTTCATTATAACTGAAGGTCGGCTTTGACGGAATTCTTCTCCATGGAACGATAACCCTCTTCCCATCCTTTGAAACTGTCTTAAATACAGGCCTAAGGCCTGCAGTGAAGAGTTTAGTTTGGTTCTTCATGTTTCTAACTGTAAAGTTTAACATTGTGGAAGGTTTGGCTCCTGTTATACTAAAATAAAACCACCCTCTATATAAAATTTCACTAACATAAGGCTTGGAATCAGCTGAAATATAGAGGTCAAAAGAACCTTCTCCAGTCTTTTTCACCTGATACAAATTCCCTGAATCAAACATGCTCGAAATAGTAATCCCAGAATCTTCGAATGTCTTATGAACTTGCTGGGGATTCTCACTCCACTTGGTAGGAGTTCTCTGCTTAATTCCTTGAGGGCTGATACCAAGATGGTCTAAATACTGTAGATATGTCATGCCGCCAGGATATTTCTCCTCTTCTTGCTGAAGTATAACTTCTGAGTGGTCGTGTCTCCTTTCAACTTCACAATCAAACATACTGTTACCCATACTAATCATATTCAAATATTAGTATTTAATATTATCAACATATATTTATTGATTCGGGGTTTTGGGGTTTTGGGGTTTTGGGGTTTTGGGG